AAAAAAAACTCTGGCCCATGTGCCTTCTAGAAAAAAAAACTCTTCGGCCCCAGTTCCTTCCAAAAAAAAAACTCCAGCCCAGTGCCTTCCAAAAAAAAAAAACTCCACCCCATTGCCTTTACAAAAAAAAAACAATAGCAACAGAAACTCTGGCCCTAGTGCCTCCCAAAAAAAATTTTCGGCCCCAGTGCCACCCTTTTATCTCGGGCCTTACTGCCGCCTTCCTATTTTTGGCACCGTAGCCTTCGCGCTCTGGTGCCACCTTTTTATCCCGGGCCTAAGTGCCGCCTTCCTATTTTTGGCACCTGAGCCTTAGTGCTCTGGTGCCACCCTTTTATCATAGGCCTTAGTGTCGCCTTCCTATTTTCGGCACTGGAGCCTTAGTGCTCCGATGCCACCCTTTTATTTTGGGCCCTAGTGCGGCCACAAAAAAAAAAAATCCTCTCCTCCTCTTCTCTTCCATCAAACTCAAGCATCCAGGGTGAAGTCCATTAAAATGGGACCGCCTCGAAGGCTAGCCTCCTTTCATGTTTGGGTAATTCGAGAGACCCCCAACTGGACCTGTAGGACGTGAGCCAAGAAGTACCTTATTTGCTCCTGGCATTTTTAGTTGGATAGGATAGGGATAAAGCTCACAAGAAGGCCCCCGCCAACTGGAATGTCAAGACATCCTCGCCCAGAATAGGAAAAAGCTCACAAGAAGGGCCCCCAATGGCTGGAAAACCGGGAGTCCGCGTTGAGATATCGTAAGCCTGCCGACGACAGAATATTAACGTGATCTCCCAAAATGGAAAACGAATTCTGGCGTGACCCGAAGAAAGCATCTCTACAAGGCACCAGACCATTGAAAACCACTTTGGTCGCCCCTCGGTCAAGGGAAAAGCTCAGCAAGGGCTACCCCTCGAGGATTGTGTTGTGCCGGTGATCAAGAAAAAAACTATGATCGAGAGACAATAAACACGTTTGGCAAGAATTTGTCAGAGGAGCTACGACGTTAAATTTTTCCAAATGTTCCACTTCTTGCTTCTCTCGAAGAGCAACATCCGATAGAGCAAGTTGTTATATTATTTTTGACGTACCTCCATGCGAATAAGGAGAGAGCCAACAACAGTCTGGTCTTGCGGGTTCAAGAGACATCTGCAGCCCAGGATTGTGCCAAAAAATAAAGCCTCCAGCCTAGTGACCTAGGTGTAGTGCCCTTGCACCAAAGAAGGACCCTCCATTGTAGCCCTATGATAGTGGCTACAACAGGGCACCATACCATCTCCGTTGTGTTTAGAATGTCGAAAAACCCCCCAGGACCAAATTTGAGCTCAATCGGACCCCTCTAGAAGGGTCTATGTTCATGCGGCCTCGCAACTCATGGGTTTTACCATAGTGTGATGCGGCTTCACCAAACCAGTCTTGAAAATAGAGACTGCGACAATGTTTTCCAGCAACAACTTCTCCAACCCATGGCTCCTTCATTTGAAATCACATAGAGCTCAAACATTGACATGTTCTAAATCACGCTAGCCCCATCATTTTGACCTAAAGCACTCACTGTGGTGTGACCAGGGACCCCTATTGCTCTGAAGAGGAAAGCACCCGGAGAAACTAGGACAAAAAAAGGTTCAGCAGGCTCTGGATTTGGTGAAGCATAGCTCAAAATCCAGGTCATGGATTAACGTGAGGATGAGTTCAAAAGAACCACCTCACACAGAGCTACATTATGGTATGAACCTTGTATTCAATCCCTTATTCAACGGATGCAAGTCCTCAGGTCACCAAAAAAGCAAATCCAGTCGGTTGTCGGAATCCCTTTCCCTTGTAACCTTTCAAAATAGCCGAAGATGCAAATCTGCACCAAATCGGGCCCAACTTGGTGTAAAACGACTGCAACGACCTCCTATCTGACTTGCAAGTAGAGCCAGGAGCTAAAATGACTCAACTCGGAGATGCATTGGCAAACAAAGTTCGCAAAATTGGTCGGAGTTTCACCTCGAGGAAGAAGGCCACCGCAACACGATTAAAGGGCATCAAAATGCTTGCAATCGAAAGAAGAACGAAGATATGTTGCTGAAAACGCTGAACAGTTGCCGTAAGTTGCAGGACCAGCTTCCAAGGTCTTCCCATGACGGAGCAGCCTGCATGCAGGGACGGTCTCGTCATTCGGGCAAAAGATCACAGGGACATTTTGGTCATTCGCACCTAATTTTTGGATTTGTTTTCAATTTCTTTAATTGTAATTAAGCTTGGCTTTTGAGCATTCACCCATGTTTGGTGAATCCTCGATATAAACAAGGTTAGCTCATTTGTAAAAGGGGTCCCCTTTTCAAAAGCTCCAATGCCCCAAAGGTTGGGAAGAATCGAGGCTAGTTTATTCTTGTTTTGTCTTATTTTGTGAGCCCCTAGTCCATTCGAGAGAGGAGAGAGAAAGAGAGAGTAAACTTTGGGAAGGACGGTACCCTTGAGTGCGTGGTCTCATAGACATCCCGATCGCGCGGGTCATCCCATTTCTCCTAAGCCGAGTCATTCCTTCTCTCTCTCTCTCTCTCTCCTCCCACTTCCGCCCATGACCCCCTCCACGCAGAAGCCCGCCCCCGTCCGTGAGCCCACGGACGTGTGCTAACCTGCAGGCCTCTGCCCTCGACTTCTACCCACACCCCCTTTAGCGGCCAACAAATCCTTTTGAAAGGGCATCCAAGGAGGAGGGACATCAGGATCCCATTTTGATAGCACGAAGAGAGTAAAAGAAGAGAGAGACATTGAGAACTTGAGGAGGGCTCCTGTCCAAACCATGTTGATGAACAACTGGAGGGCTTCGTAATTGCTCTAAGAAGGCCATCTGCCCAGGCGCGTCCCCGAACCCCCAAGCGGCGTAAGAGTGATTCGCGCTCCAATCATAAAAACCTCTCTCACCATCGGCTTCCTATCTGCAAGTAAGAGGGCCCGCATGTCCCCCGCATGCTGGATCTCTGCAGTTGTTCGAAAGAAGGTTTCCTCACCCCCGCACGGAGGGAAACCAGGACTCTACCTACATCACACAAGTCTTATCACATATCACATAACTAACCACACAGGTCTTATCAAATATCACATAACTGACCACATAGGTTTTATCACATATCACATGTCACATAACTAACCACACAGATCTGATCACATATCACATAACTGACCACATAAATCTTATCACATATCACATATCACATGTCACATAACTGTCTCAAAAATCATACACATTGTCACAACAGAGTATGTATCATGATCATGTACACATATCATAATAGAGCATGTCTTACTGCATGCTTCTATATCATAACAGAGCATATGTCATTATCATGCTTTCATATCACAACAGATTATTCTTTCATATCATAACTGAGCATACATTCATTTCATACCAGAATATGCATCTAGATTGAGTTTTAGTCTGACGAGCCATGTGTACAACACTTTTAAGTAAGAACATGGGTACGGCAACTTCTTTTCAACCGGGTTCGGGTTAAAAGTGTCGAACATGTATGTATTTTGGGGAAAGATATGATAAAACAAGTACTTAAGCAGAAAATAAAATATATGATATCGATTTTAGTTTTGCAAAATATGTAAGTTTTTATTCGAAATTTCCTAATAAATAACAAAGTATGCAATCATGCTGCTGAATATTTAAAAAACAATGATAAGTATTCTATGATCAATGCTTGATTAGTTGTTTTATGGTGATAGTACTAACGACCAAGTTTTAAAAAATCGGTGACCTTATCCGGAATCGGGCTATCCAAATCGAGAATAGCCCAGAACGCTCCGGATTAGGCCAAAAAACAGGATTCGAGTGGTTTCAAATAGTAGAATCACCGATTTTTTTGCGGAACTACCAATTCTTCATCAAGTCCACCTGATTCTTGACCGATTACGACCGATTCTTCATCGATTCCGACCGATTCTTCACCGAGTCAAGCGAAAAAAAAGGATGAAAAAGTTTTTCTTGAATTATTTTTTTATAAAAATTGAAACAAAAATTACCAATTCTGTCTATTCTTCCAATCCGATCCACTGATTCACCCGATCTGTCATGGGTATGGGTGTGATCAATGTGAGTCACCGACCTGTTTTTTTAAACTTTGCTAATGACCATTCATTTTTCTATGATCACTGGATCATAGTATATTTTACCAAATTTCAAAGGGAAATTATCAAAAAAGGGGTTGAAACACCTTAAAAAATCATTAAAGGGGTCAAAAGAAAACAAGTTACACTTAAAGGTTTGCTTTTAAATTTCTATATCAATCAAGTGCGTTTCGATAAAATTCTCAAATTATCCCCTTTTTGATGTTAAGAAGCTAGAATAATTGGACGTACTTGGGTAATTTTATCTCCTGTTATCAATCAATTAATGCTTATTTGGGGATAAAATTATTAAAGTACTTCAATCTATGCATGCTTCTCAACATCAATAGGGGTAGTTTGGAAATTTTTAATATTTTTTTTATTGAGAGTGTATCTGATTAATATAAAAATTTAAAAATATACCTTCAAATGTAATTCATGCTCTTTTAACTCCTTTAGTAATAATGTAATGGGTTTCGACACCTTGTTGATACGGGAAAAAGTTTATATAAACTTACAACTTTATTCCATTAAAGTGAAGTACACCTCAAAAATCCTCTAAGAGAGTGTCCCAATATTAAAGAACCATCAAATTATCTTGACTTCAATATGCGTGGATTGAAAAAAAGAAAGAAAAGAATTTAAAGTTCTAAAAATACTGCATCTTATAATAAGTTATCCAAACTCATCCATTACGTCTATATAATTTTTGATATTTTAAAATTTATAACTAGTATAAAGCTAGATTTTGATTGTTAAGTAGCTATAGATCATTTCGGTCAATAAATTTTTGATATTTTAAATTTTATAACTAGTATAAAACTAGATCTATACAATTTTTGATATTTTAAATTTTATAACTAAAATAAAACTAGATTTTAAGTCCGTCATATAACTAGATCTCCTATCAAAATTTAGAGGTGCAACTTACCTCTACAATACAAAAGGAGGGTCGCAAACTTTCACCCTTTCGATGTTCTCCCATTTTGAAGTAGAAAATACGAAAGGATGGCGTTCACTTCAGAGAGAGAGAGCGTCGTTGGGGGTTTAAGAGAGAGAAGCTCGACGAAAAGCTTTTTCAATCTGTTCTGTGGGGCTTCAGCTCGTCTCAAATTTGGTTCGGAATGAAGCTTGGTTCGGAATGAAGCTTGTGAGTACCACCCCTATTCTGTCAATATTTGAACACAGAAATTCGAAACACCACACCCCCCCCCCCCTTCCTTTTTTTTTTAAATCACAGTCAACCATCACAATGAAGATGAAATCTTCATTACTCATGTCCAAATTCCTTAGTGACTTGTAGTTTTGGAAAATGGGTTTTGTCTATTTTACCTAATTTTATTTTTTCTCCTTTTCTCACTTTCAGACGTGCCTCAACCAGGGCAAGGGATTTTACTTCCCACCATGCCATATGCTTCATATTTGTGGGGTTCAGATTTTATTGGAGTTTCCACTTGATTTATCGGCCACTAGCGTGTTTTCCCCTATCAATATCGGTCGAGCGCCCACTCGAGACGATTCATCTCCGGGGAAAGTTTTGAAGCTATGCAAGAGGAGAAAGATTGATAGTGAAGAAGAACCTAAATTTGACGAAACTACGGATTCTAATGACGCTTTTGAAGTTTTGAAAGGAAGTGAATTAATTTGTGCTGAACCCTGGTATAAAACTGCTTGTTTGCATCAATGGGATATTTCAATGATCGATGTGGTTTTAGTATCGAGCCCCTTGGGCATGCTTGGTTTGCCCTTCCTAACACGTGACAAGAGGTTCTCGGGCAAGGTATTTATTTAAACAATCCTCCATTTTCACCAAATTGATTATTTGTATGTGGGTGTTCATTGTCTTTTGTTTCTAAATTGATTTTTCTTGTATTGAATTTATATCATGTGTGTGGCTGATTCGATTTTCCTACTTGAATACATATATTTTTGTTTTATCCAAATTGATTTTTCCTAGGTGGGTGTTGATTTTGTTGCTTTTGTAGCTAAATTGATTGTTTTTACATATTTCCTGGATACATATATATATTCTGTTTAATTACTAAAGTGAGTATTTCACGTGGCTATTGATTTCACTTTTTTTTTTTGTTTTTTTTTTTGCTTTTTGTTCAATACTAGTACTGATGGCTTGATGATGTTTATGCGACATGCTATTGTTGGTTGATTGAAATTTAAACTATCATTAATTTTGCTGTATTTTTTATGGGCATTTCAGGTTTATGCAACAATGCCTGTTGCAAAGCTTGGACAATTGATGATGGAGGAGCTTGTTTCGATGCATGAAGAGTTCAGGCAACTTTATGGCCCCCAGGAGCCTGGTTGCCCTCATTGGATGTGTAGTGAGGGACTTGATTTACTACCCAAAGCATTGAGAGAGATTGTGGCTGGGATGAATGGCTTGGATCTTGTGAATTGGCAGTGCTTGTACAGGTGAAGCTTCAATTGTAGTAATGTTTTCATCCTTGTTAAGTATCTTGTTTATTAGGTGTTGGGTATGTTTCATTACTTAGTTGTTTTCTATGTTTGAGAGCTCTATCCACTTCTAGTTGACACCCCGGGATCGACTCAGTTGGCACATGAACAACTTCTGGAAAAATCGGATTTGGGTTGAGTTTATGTACTTCTATGTTAAACATCCTGAAGTTTACATGCAAACAGTTTGTGGTTTTTGTTACGGTATGACCTTTATTCTTTAGGCTGGACTCGAGTTCGATTGTTATTGGTTTTTTAACTTGGTTTTGACTCCATCTGAGTCAAGGACTGATTTCAAATTTTGAGCACTAGTAGTGATTTTAGGATTTATTTTATATATTGGAAAGGAAAAAAGGTTCCTAAGAACATCTTAGCATGGTTCATGGAAGGTGGGAATTATATGAAATACATTTATAGGACTTTTCATACAGGGCACAAATATTCAATTTGGATGTTTCGGTGGTTGAGCTTTGGCATTCAACTTTAGCAACGTGCTAGTTTTCTTGTTGTGAATGGAGAGGATGTCTCAAACTGTCAATAGTTGAGGGATTTATTATGTGTGACTGTGAGTAGAGTGGATACGGTGTGCCATTATTTGAGAAGAGGGAAAGGAGTAATCCACTAGGGACAAGATACTTCCATGGAACCATTCACCACAGTGGGACATTCAATTTTGAAATTTCTGCAGTTTTGTGTTGGTGTGTAGAGTACCTATTGAGCATACGGTAGTCACTCAGTGGGGTTTGGGGCTTTTTGTTTGTCTTCTGGGTTTGTTAGTTTGAGTCTTTAGACATGTTCTGGCACTATAAGTTCATGTGCTTCGAGTTTTTCTTTTGATAGGGAGAATGTTTCATTAGAGTTATGTTCATTGTCCGTGTCTTCTGGGTTGGCAAAAGAAAATTAAATATAACTAGAAGGATAAAGAAGGGGGTCTACAGTTCAATATCAGGCCAATCTCTCAGTTTACATATTATAGAAAGTGCTTCTATTTTCAAATTTTCAATTTCCCTGTTGGTCTAATACTTTTGGTGGATTGCTTTTTGTTTCTTATAGATTGGCCTTTTGCACGGGTCCTTTATATTTTTATGTTTCCATGAACTCATGGTCGTTTTTCATTTGTGCCTGTGAGAGGGTGTGCCTTGTCTATGTTACTCAATTTTTCAATCATTACTTGTTGTGCTCAGATGAGATTGTTAGATTGTTACTTCAATCTAACTTTTTGGGACAGCTTTTCTAGTATTGTGATAAGCTGTGTGTGTCAGTGCAGCGGATGTCAAGGTTTGCTTGAAGAAGGTCCATACTCTTAGATATGCTGAGGAAGTTTGCTATGATAACACTTTAATAATTAAGCCATTCAGCTCTGGATTAGAGATAGGCTCTTCAAATTGGAGAATAAGTGGGCCAAGGAGAAACTTAATGTACCTGACAAGCTCTGTCTTTGAATCTGATCACACAATGGATTTCGATTATAGATCACTTCAGGGAAGTGATGTAATTTTATTTTCAGATTGCTCATATGTCCATAATACGGAGTATAAAGTGCCTTGCACTTCCAGTGCCTCTCTAAGCAGGTATGAGTAGCTCATATATAATATGATACTTCAAACACCAATTTCCCTGTCACTAATGTATTTGTAAGTACGTTATCAGACAATTATTTACACTTTCCAATCCATGTTTCAGTGATTGTTATTCTGACCGGGCCAATAATGCTGCTGAACTTTTATCTGATAATAGTGAGAGCTTGAAAGAGATGCAGAAAATTGGCTTTATATGCTCATGTGCAGTAAACTCTGTTAAAGCAGGAGGTTGTGTTTTAATATCAATTGGCAGAATAGGATCTTCCCTTGTGCTTTTAGAACAGTTATCACTAATGCTGGACTCTTCAGACCTTAAGGTATCGTTTCTAGAATTTGTTTATTTTGTTAGTCATGTATAATTATTTTGTTGGGCTTTTGTTTAGTCAAAATGATTTGATATATTGATTGCATTCTTTCATTTCCATAGGGGATTTCGACTTGCCCTTGAGTTTTTCATGTAAACAAATTTTATCTCATGTTTGTTCTTTTAGCATGAGCTTCTGAGGATATCTTTATTACATTGATTAAAATATATTAACCAAATCAGGTATTGTTGGCATGTTTTGTTTGGAGATCATTAATCAAAGAGACTTGGGTGCTTGTAGTACCGATGTTTGATTTTGATGGTGGGACTTCAGCCTAGTGGTTAGTTTGTGAGTCTTCTCCCTTTTAGTCTAGCTCCAGAAATCGTTTTTAGGGTATTGATACATAGAGGCTTCCTAGAGATGGCATTCAACTTCACGACTGACTCATGAAATCACCTTTGAGTTTTGCTCCTCCATGACATTATAGAAGTTGTAAGGAAGGTGCAAGGTCCCTAACTCACCTCAATGATTATGCCATTGCACGTCACCTAATGGAGTAAATTGGTTTAACATTGTCTCCATATTTTGATGGATTATATAATTAGCACGTGCTGTAAAATCTTTTCAATTAGATATAAAAACAACAATATAATCTTAAGAGCTGTGAGAAAGGATTGCTTTTCTACGTGCCTCCAATAAAAAATTAAACACTCCCACTCAAGAAGACCAGCTATAATTTGAAAAATGAAGTTGCATCCATGTAAGAGTCTTTTGAAGTCCATCTTCTTCCCAAAAGCTTCACAAAAAAACAGTAGCAACCCTCTTTAATTTCCTTTCTAAACCATTCTCCTAATTCTTTTTTTGCAATTCAGAAATTTCAACTTTTTTTAACCACTAAAAGAACATCGAACATAAGCTTTCTCCGAAGTTTCATATGAAGAACTTATTCTACAGCCAAGTTATAACATATTCTAGGACCAGGTTATAAAATTAACCCTCCTATTCCTAAAATATTTTTTATCCAGAAATTATGATGAAATTCATTAAAAAATGGGTGTGGTTTGTATAAGGCTGAGGCCCAAAACAATCAACATAGGGCACACCTTCAAATAGTGTCGAAATTTGTTGTTTCAGTATCATAAATCTTTATGATGGCCTTAAAATTTGTTTTCATTTCTAATTATAAAATTTAAAGTTAAAAAATTATGTAGATTCAGCAGATCTATGAACACTTGAAAATCTTGAAAATCTTGAAAATTGAGGGTTCAGATAATACATTACAAGATGCACTATTTCCAAGACTTGAAATTTATTGTTTTTCTCGTGACCATACACATTGAGGTCAAGATGATCGAATTGAGGGTTTTTCAACATAGAAACAACCTTTTCAAATGAATTTTTGAGGTGCGCCTTAATTTGATTGTTTAGGGCCTCACCCTTATATAAAATTTTTTCCTTGAAAGATTTGCCTTGACTTCTTTAGATTCTCAAAACCAAAACTTAATCTTTTCGAACTATTTGTGTGATGTCCCTGAAACATTCCTATCCATTTAAAAAGGCCTTTTTCTTTTTCTTTTTTTGGGTAAAGTAACTTAAGGTTTTGTCTTTAGAAACATTTTGACAAAATAAAGTTTTGGAGAAAAAAAAAGTTTTGGATATCTAGGAAACGGGCTTGGGTCAAGATGATAGATGCTAGGTTTTCCTTGCCCAACGTCTCAAGTTCCATTCCTATGTAACCTTGTCAAAAACAAAAAGTTTTGGATATTTAAAAGGAAAGTGGTTTGATAGGGCTGCAATCTTATCAAAATAAGTAAAGCCTCACCTTGAAAATTACAATTCAATCATTGAAAAACCATTGCATCGATCATCTCAGCTTGAACATCATGGTTGTGAAAACAAATTAGGAATTTAAGCTCTAAAAATAGTGTATATTGTAATAAATTATCTAGACCGTCCATTTTGCCCTAACAATAATTGTTCATAGATCTGCAAGATTTGCATCATTTTTTGAGTTTTAAATTTTATTGTCGGTTTTGGAAATTGATTTTGAGCCATCATAGAGATTTTTGTTGCCGAAATTGCTTTCCAGATGAGGATTTGAGGTGAGGCTTTATTTTGTTTTCATAAAGCCTAGACCTTGTAGAAACTTTATCCTACCTAAAAACACCTTAAACTAATTTAAAGTTACTTTTTCTTAGAAATTTCTTGCTTTCCAACTAAAGAAACTTATCTCTAAGTTACCCACCTGACTATTGTTCATGAACCTTGGCTGTTTAATGTTATTAATTTTCTATTAGTTTACTTTTTCAAATCTTGAGTTATTAGATTGTATACATACATGATATCTCTAGTTGTACCGGTTAGTAGGGGCGATTTGTTTCAAGTGGAAGGATCTAAAAGGGCAAAAGGAAGTCAAGGAAAAAGGAAGATGAAGACACAAATGGAACTAGTGAGAAGAAAAATGTTGGCTTACGGTCTGATTGAGAGTATGACCCTTGATAGAGCAGAAAACAGTAGAGGTTACTGATAGAGCTTAAGGCAAAAATGTTCTGTAGTCAACAGTAGAAAACAATAGAGCTTAAGGCAAAAATGTTGGCTTACGGCTTTTGATCTTAACTTGGACTAGTCATCCTGCATTGAGTTTTGTAGTCATTTGTCTGATTAGAGACTGAAAACAGTAGAGGTTACTGATAGGGTGGCTCTATTCAATGTTATTGATAATTTTTTACTTTAATCACATGGAGGATTATTGTAAGGTGGACAAGCCAGGCTGTATTGGTGATTCTAATATTTGTCTTATGTCTTTGGGTTCTAGGCTGCAACCTCTTGGCATAGTGCTGAGCATAAAGGTTGTGGCACTAACGTCCAATATTCGAGTTCCAGTTTACCAGACCCTATAGTTGTGGGCCCTTTGCCGTGCCTGAAACACGTCTCCAATAAGAATGTAATTTCTGCCTTGTATTTTTGTGTTTGTATCTTCTATTATTTGATTAATCACTTTTGCACTAGTTTTCAATTGGTCTATCAGGTATGAACTTTGTGTTTTTGATTCACATGCCTTGAAGCAATTGACATTTCTTGGTTTTTGTTGATTAGTTTCATGTTATCCTTGTTTTTTAACACTATTTAAGATTTATGCCTCTCCTGTAATGCAGATTCCAATATTTTTATTGTCAACCAGTGCTGAAGAAATGTTGGCATTTTCTAATGTTATTCCAGAATGGCTTTGCAATCAGCGTCAACAGAAGGTGTCATTTTTTGTGGCTCATGGTTTCCGTTTTCCTTGATAAATTTTATTTATAAATTTATTTATTTGGGAAAGTGGTTCATTATATTTCATTACAACAAGTTACAAAACAAAATATATTGTTCCTATATATGCCTGGTATATACATGATATTGAGTATTGACAATGATTACACAAGTCCCTGATTTCTGTAAATATCCCTTGTAATCTCTAATAGATGTCCCTTAAAGCCATCTAATATTTGTTATGTCATCAATTTTACTTTCAGTTGTATTCTGGTGAGGCATTATTTAGTCACACAGAGCTCCTAGGTGCAAAAAAGATTCATGTGTTCCCTGGAGTTGATTCTCCTGGTCTAATGTGAGATATTTTCCTTTCCCCTTAGCTTTCATATCTATATCTACGATCTATATGTATATCCATGTGAGTATGTGTGTATGTGCATGCATGTGTATAGTTTATATAGAACGATAGCAATTTCTGTATTTACCTTTACAATTCCACCTCATGCACAAGTTTTGATCAGGTTGACACAAAAAAGCTTCAAATCAATCTCCTCCACTGCAAAATCAGTCCTCTCCAACATAGAATTGGTTGGAGCTCCATCTCCGAAGTCATTGCCACTGCAAAATCAAATCTGGACTGTCCATTGGGATGGATGGATGATTCAGGTGCTTTCGAGCTACAAGTCAAATCCTATTTGGAGGAGACTGATATGCAGGCTTTCTGGAGCAATTGTAGGCTATTCACCCAATCAAAAGTCATGGATGACATCGGGAGCACCAATTTTTGGTGGTCTTAGGGCACCACCTAAACCTTTCCATATTGTTTATACACAAACACGCATGCAACTTTCCATGGTGTTTACACATATAGAAACAATAGGGATGCTTATAGCTGTCTAAAGGGTGCGAAATGATTGCATTGATTGGAACTGCACTGTAATATCCGAACTCCAAACAAAATATGGAGACTGAAAGTCATGATAAGGTTAATGTTTTGAATCCAAAACATTGGAAATATGGATGCATTATTTTCCTGAAAGTGCAATTAATGGGAGCTCCATGACTCAATATTCGGTATATCCGTCAAGAAAGTTTGGTCTTCTACTCGGGGCATCAGGTAGGCATGTCTTCACTCGGGGCATCAAGTGTAACATCATCAGTTGTCGTCACCACATGAACCACATCCACCATAGGAGCAGGGCTGCCCTCCCTTGGGCGACAACTCAGACTGAAAGTAACATGTCGAGGAGGAATCGGTAAAGCTATGACCAACTCGATGACAGGAGCTGCCCCCGGTGATGAAGGTGGATCAGGAGAAACCACTTGAGCCACACGCTTGGTATACTTCAAGGAGTTTGGTGGCAGAGACTGAGATTTGCTCAGGGCAAGGGATGGTGAACAAGCAGTACCAAGAGCAAGATGCACCGGATGAGCTTGCTTCTTCAATCGAGCACTCTTTTGGAGCACAAGCCTCGCAATCTCTTCAGCTTCAGTGTCTTCTGGAGCCCCCTTTCTCTTCTTCTTTGCCTTCTCTGCCATGGCTTCCCCATCATGGCAATCATAAGTACGTGTGGCAGCAGGTGGAGAATGAGCACCACTACCAATCAAGATGTTCAAGTCTTGTGCTGTCCCTCAACCCGACTCACGACACACCCCTCCTTCCATCTAAAAATGGATCGAAGACCATCAAACAAGGGCTTGGCCTACCCTGGAGAGAAAGGAATTCACGGAACTGCTCATCGGTGGCCATCAACCTGGGGATCCCAATCGTCTTCCAGTCATTGGGATAGTCGAGCTCAAAGATCTTTGAGAAACTGAGCGGGGTAAAATTATGCCCATGCTTCGTCTCCACTTCACAGGAGCGTTCTCGCCTTTCCAATTGTGATCTGCTCGCCAGTAAGAATGGTTGGTGGTATTCTACCACCTCCAATATGCTTCAATAGCACGGCCCATGCCACCATACCAAGGAACAACAAACTTGTTCATTCTGATAAACTCAAGTTAGGTGGCCCAAGCCATTCTCATATGCCTCTCAGTCCATGCCTTGCGCTTTACACCAAGAGCATCCCTCCCCTGTGAAGAGCCGATTTTCCTGTACCGCTTTTCAAAAAGCACAGGGTATGAACATCCTTGATCAAGGCCATGTTGGCGAGCAAACCGATGGGGGTAGTAAGCTTCAAGCTTCTTGTCACTAGTTGTGCGAAATGGCAAGATGCACCCCCTCACACTCAAGAGGTACATCAGCTCGTGAGCCTCAGTAGTGGCCCCATCAAGAACCTCACCAAAATCATTTGAAAAGGCCCGATCAGTAGGGCCACCAATGGGGAAGGGGATAGCATGCCTGAAAAAGGAATCTCCACCAAAGAGGCTCCGCTCATCACTTGGTGTACGAAAGAAGGCCTTCTTCCCTACAATCTGCATGAGTTGGGGGCATGAAAACCCTGACAGCCGGCCATCCATCTGATAAGTCTCAGGCAAATAAGCTGAGAGCCACCCAAAGACATAGTGCACTGGGAATGCGGTCCTGAACAGACCAGGGAGAGCCTCTCCTCTTGATGACCCACACTCATTCGTGAGTCTCGCGGGCTTACCACGAGCAATTGCCCCCAAACCGTGGTAAATACTGCACAAGACTGGCTGTGCTAAGGCGTACTCATGCCCATCAGCCATCTCACAGGCCATGTACAAGCATCCGACACAAATGCGAATGCCTCTCGACTCAGGGAGAGCAAATTTGCATAAAAATAAAGCTAGGTAAGCAGTCAAATTTACCTGGTCTTTCTCAGGCCTTCGCGGTGGAACTCTAGATTCTGCCTACTCTTTCCCTTTTTCTTCAACGTCCTTATCAGGAAAAGACTTCCCGCCAATGATGTTATAGTTGGGCTCCCCTTTGTCTCTCCGGGTCCCAAAGAAGAAAGACTGCCACTACGAAAAGCTTACATGTCCATCCGCCTACTCTGAGCTCAAGAGTTGATATGTCTCAAATAGCTCGCGAAGCCTAGGAGGTGGTGACTTGCCATCTTTTCTATGGGTACATGCCTCTCAGGTGATCCAGTCTTATGGTTCTTCATTATCCGCATATGGCCTTTTTTTCCTAGGTGCTCATTTTGTTTGGGCCTTTAGTTTAATGTTTCTATTCAACGACCGCGGGTATTGGCAAGAACTTATTGAATCCATCGTTTGGGCTCATAATCGAAAGCTCAAGAGTTGCTTATGTAACTCCAAGTTTCTAACAAGGCCCTCATGGTATTTGAACAACGATCATAGTAGCCTATCGAGCATTGGCAAGCCACAAGTAAAGAGCATTTCCTAAGGCGCTCTTCATGGTGGCGCAAAACATCTAGCATCCAAGAGCAATACCCTCTCAAATACTAATGCTCGCCTTCAAATCGAAGGCCATTAGGGGACCACACCAAGCCCTTATTCTTCGTCATTATCTTTCCAAGGGTGGAGAGGTTTAGGCTTGAACCATAATCCCAATGAGGGAAGTGAAACATGGACATCCCGTCACCCTCCACTGGCTCCCCATCCTTGGTCTCACGGAGATGGAAACTGACATTATCACCCATATAGGTGATACTTAGTGGCCACTTTAGCTCACGAATGGGGATGATAGGCTTGAGATACTGTCCCCTCGCAAGAACAACTCCGGTATAAGTGTTGGTCCCCACCTCTTCGGGAGGATTCAGAGGGGGCTATACTGGAGGGTCATGCCCATTCAAGATGCCCCCTAGAAGAACCCCCTTGCTATTTAAAAAGCATGGGAAGATATGGAAAAAGGATCCAAAATCGTAGGAAAAGCATAAAAGAGCATGCATATTTCCACAAATAAAGAGAAGAAAGGGGAAAGATTGAGCTTTCCTTCCTCGGGGACCCGAGATGAACTTGCTATGTGATCCAAAGCTCACCAAAACCGACAAGTCTTTCAAAGCCCCTCTCTCTCTAAGGTGCTTTCACCTCTCTCTCTCTAAAAAGTAAGAAAATGAGAAGTGGTGAAAAAGGTGAAAAAGGTGAAAAAGGATAATTATCCTATAAGTCCCTACAACTCCTCAATCCCAAAAAGGTCTCTAGCCAACTTGACCTTTTGAAGAAGTAGAAGGGCAATGAAGTAAAAGGGAAGGGCCCAAAAGACCACCCATGCCCCTCATTCAAGCCTGCAAGGTAAAAATCCCCTAGGGGCATAACCACTCAAACGGTCTCGGAATTGAATGAGACCAGGCCCATTGCAAAGATTGAGCCCGGCCTAGTCAAGAATGGTCGGGCTCATGTCAAAAAGGGGCCTCTAGCCCAGTCCGCTATGCTCAAAAGAGGGGGGACGGACCCCCATTTTCTCTCTTTACCCTCTCACGTCTCTCTCCCTCACTCGGGCCAGGCAGCCTAGCCCCTGGCTCGATGCTTTTGTCTCTCCCCTCCACTCCCTCTCTCATTCTACTTCGTCTCTCTCCCTCTCGTTTGGGGCCAGCAGGCTAGCTGTTGGCCTGCTCTCTCTTTCTCCCCCTACTTCATCGCTCCCCTCCCTCTCTTCATGTACCTTGTCGTGGGCACACTCTCGCTCTTTCGTCTTTGTCTCTCTCTCCCTCTCTTCGTCTATACCGTGTCCACGGCTTAGCTGCGGGCACACTCTCTCTCTTGTCTTAGTCTTTCTCTCCCTCTCTTCTTCTATACTCATGCCCACGGTTAAGCTGTGGGCACACTCTCTTGCTCGTCTCTCTCTCACCCTCTCTTAGTCTCACCTCTTTCACTTCGAACCCATGGCTTAGTCGTGGGCACACATCCTTTTATACTCACCTTTCATCTCAAAGCCCATGGCTTAGCCATGGGCACAAGTACACTCTCCTAATCTCGTCTCTCTCTCTTTCATCTCAGAGCTCATGGCTTACCCATGGGCACACACACATCTTCCCCCTCCCTAGCTTTCATCTCTTTCTCCCTCCTCTACTGTTCACTTCACATCACTTGCACACAAGGTCGAGCCCACGGTTTACCCAGGAGCTCGACCCATTTTACTTAGACATGCTCACTCCTCATCTCTCGTGACTCATTCACCACCCTTGAGCCCCAACATCACTCGCATGCTTTCATGCATCGTGTCATCGCAACTTGCACCGTTCAAACCCTTGAATGGGCACCCCTATTTTGACTACTTCACCACAAAGGGCTCGACCTTTTTTTTTATCACCCCACTGAGCATCATTCAAAAATGTGAATGAACGCTCCACCCAAACACCCATTTCACCAATGAGTCGCTCCATTCACAAACCACCACCGCCTCAAACAAATCACACCACCATCACTCCCCGTGAGCCTCTGCCTCACCCATTCTATGAGGTAAACCATTATCCCTAGGAAGTCTTA